TATATATATATATATGCAGAGTTTGGCTGTTCAATCAACCCCACCACTTCTGGTTCTTCTATAGCCTCTGCCACTGATGCTCTTCCTATTCCTCAACCTACTTTACTCAGCAATTGTGTCCATTGCTCATACTGGTAAATCAGGGGGGGTTGTTCTACAGGTCCTTCTGAAGAAGGGACCATTGTGAATACAAGGAGATCCTAACTAAAAAAGGGAACCTACCTTGTGACATTTTGTGGACAGCTTGTTGGACAACTACCGCATGCATATGTTAGTGGCGCAGTCTGGAAGTCCTAGGGCTTCACTTTCAAAGCGGGTTGCTTAGCCCCAAGTTTTCGTTCCACAGCCCATCAAAGCCCTTGATTCCCGCTCCCGAAACCCAAGTAGACTTCCTAAACAACTTGCGAACTCTTGCCCTTCCCCAAACGAACATGCAACCCCAAATGCCCTGCTTTCAAAGAACTATAGTGTAGGAGGACCCCCACCCTGTAGTGGTCGTAGAGTAGGAATGTGATAGGACCATAATATAATCCTTATTATCCTTTATAGTCACTATTACAGGGTGGGGGGAGGGTCCTCCTAAACTATATTCCTCATAGGGCCCAGTATGGATCTGGCATGTCAGTTTTGAGAGGAAGCCCTAAACAACTTCCTGGTTCTTGGAAGGGAATACGGGAATATATCCACCACACAATCCCTATAATCCCATATTCCCTACTAAGCTCCTGTAAGACAAGCCCAAATCTACCCTTGAAAAGCGTCCCAATGTAGAAGCCTGACTTTTTACCTAAATACGAGACATTCCTTAGTGACTTTGATTTGCTATAGTAAATTATGATTCAATCGTTTACTTATCATCGTTCAGCCCCCAAGCCGAATTGCCATGTCACTTTCCAAGAAAACTAGACCTCAGATATCCTAGATCAGTGCCCTATATCCTTGCGCATCCGTATGTCACCTCATATATCCCCTATATCCTCTGTACAGGGGGCCTAAAGTACCCTAACCCCCCCCATACATCCTTCCCTCTCCCTATATCAGATAGGCCCCCATTTAAAGGGACCCCTTAGAAACCCCTTACATCCCCTTTAAAGGGACCCCCTACATCCCCTTCAAGGGACCCCCCTAGAAACCCCCTACATCCCCTTTAAAGGGACCCCGTTGAAACCCCCTATTTCGCCTTCAAAGGGGCCCACCAATGCCGCCACTTCGAAGGCCAGGCCGAGGGCGAGGCCGCGAAGACCGTCACTGTGAAGATGGAGGGCTCCGAGACGGTGCAGAAGCCCCTCATTGGCTTTAGGGTTCAGTTTAGGGTTT